AGGGAGGTGAGGTTTCTGTCCTTCTCTGAAGAGATGAAATGTCAACACCAGCAGACTGTGTTAAGTTATGTATGCATAATACCTAGAGGAACCACTAAAAAAGCTATGAGAAGAGATATACTCCAAAACATTACAAATGGATGGAGTTCTAGAAGATGTTCAAATAACCCAAAGGAAAGCAGGCAAAAGAAAACAGTAATGAACAAAGAGAAAAAAAATGGATTCCATTTATATAATATTCTTAAAATGACCATGTTTTAGAGCTGGAAAACAAATTATGGTTGCTGGGGGTTGGGGGTGATAAGAGGGAGAAGCATGAGGGAAGCCTTAGTGGTGATGGAATAGGTCTGCCTCTTGTTTGAATTGATAGTTACCTCATCTACACATGAAAATATAGCACAGAAGTATACACCATTGGGGGAACCTGGGTGAAGGGTATATGGACCTCCTGGAACAATCTCATTATTTCCTGTGAACCTCTATCTCAAAACAAAGTTTCTTTTAATAATGGCAGTAAATATTAGAACCACAACAAGACATCATCTCTCTTGTGTCCCAGCTCAACTTTCAATAGTCATGTAATACAGAGAAGGAAACAGCCAATGATAAAACATTAGGAATATGGAACATTCTACATATCTTAAATGCTACTTCTCTTTTTCAAAGTGACCTGACATCTCTGTCAACATTTCTTTCCTTATTACATTATAGTTTCAGGTCAGAGTTCACCTGGACTCAACTATTCCATGAGGGCATTCCTAATTCTGCCAGCCCCAGACTGGTGTTCAGAATTTCTGTAGACTCAAGTTTCTCCCATACCATTTAATATGGTCATATGCAGCCTAGTGCTTTTCACTGGGTCATATTTGCTACCCTATTTACCTAACTAGTTTGTAAGCTTCTTAAGATCAGTCACAAGGCTTATATTTTTTTCCTCTGTACACCTGGCTCAGCATTTGTTAAATCACCTATAGGCTGACAGAATGATGGTCAAGTGCATTTATCAGAAAGTTGTTTGTATACAAGTTGTTTGTATCCCATAGTTAAGAGTATTTCATTGTCTTCCTGTATGATTTCTTCCCATTCCAATTTCCCTCCCTTCCCCTATGATCCTTTGCACAATTTCTTATATTCCTCATACAAGTGAAAGCTGTATGATAATTGTCTTTCATTGATTGACTTCACTTAGTCTAATACCCTCTAGTTCCATCCACGTTGATGTAATGGTAAGATTTCATCCTTTCTGATGGCTGAGTAATACTGCAATGTGTGTGTGTATGTGTATGTATATATAATCACATCTTCTTTATCCCTTCAATCTGTTGATGGGTATCTCAGCCCTTTTCACAGTTTGGTTATTCTGGACATTGCTGCTATAAACATTGGTGTGCAGGTGCCCCCCTGAATCACTACATTTGTATATTTGGGGTAAATACCTAGTAGGGGAATTGCTGGGTCATAGGGTAGCTCTCTTTTTAACTTCTTGAGGAACCTCCATACTTTTTTCCAGGGTGGCTGTACCAGCTTGCATTCCCACCAACAGTGTAAGAGGGTTCTCTTTTCTCCACATTCATGCCAACATTTGTTGTTCCCTGTCTTGTTAATTTCAGCCATTCTGATTGGTGTGAGGTGATATCTCATTGTGGTTTTGATTTGTATTTCCCTGATGCCAAGTGATGTTCAGCATTTTTCATGTGTCTGTTGGCCATTTGTATATCTTCCTTGGAGAAATGTCTTTCATGTCTTCTGTCCATTTCTTGACTGGATTCTTGTTTTTTTGAGTGTTGAGTTTGAGTTCTTTATAGATCTTGGATACTAGCCCTTTATCTGATATGTCATTTGCAAATACCTTCTCCCATCCCATAGGTTGCCTTTCAGTTTTGTTGACCCCTTTGCTGTGCAGAAGCTTTTCATCTTGATGAAGTCCCAATAGGTCATTTTTGCTTTTGTTTCCCTTGCTTTTGGAGAAGTGTATAGCAAGAAGTTCCTGTGGCCGAGGTTGAAGAAGTTGCTGCCTATGTTCTCCCAAATCTAGGATTTGGTGGATTCCCGTCTCACAGTAAGGTGTCTTTCATCCATTTTATATTTGTGTATGGTATAAGGAAATGGTCCAGTTTCATTTTTCTCCATGTAGCGGTCTAATTTTCCCAACACCGTTTGTTGAAGAGACTGTCCTTTTTCTATTGGATATTCTTTCCTGCGTTGTCAAAAATTAGTTGATCATAGAGCTGAGGGTCCATTTTGGGGTTTTCTGTTCTGTTCCATTTTTCTATGCGTCTGCTTTTGTGACAGTACCATATTGTCTTGATGATTACAGCTTTGTAATAGAGCTTGAAGGCCATCAACTTTGGTTTTCTTTTTCAACATTCTTTTGGCTATTTGGGGTCTTTTCTGGTTCCATACAAATTTTAGGATTATTTGTTCCAGCTCTGTGAAAAAATGTTGATGGCATTTTGATATTGATTGTATTGTATGTGTAGATTGCTCTGGGTAGCATAGACATTTTAACTATTTATTCTTCCAATCCATGAATATGGAATGTTTTTCCATTTCTTTGTGTCGTCCTCAATTTCCTTCACAAATGTTCTGTAGTTCCTAGAGTACAGATCCTTTACCTTTTTAGTTAGGTTTATACCTATGTAACTTATAGTTTTTGGCACAATTGTAGATGGGATCAATTCCTTGATTTCTATTTTTCCTGTCTCATTGTTAGTGTATAGAAATGCAACTGATTTCTGTGCATTGATTTTATATCCTGCCACGTTGCTGAATTCCTGTATGAGTTCCAGCAATTTGGGAGTGACAGGCATTAAGGAGGGCATGTGATGTGATGAGAACTGTGTGTTATATGCAAGTGATGAATTACTGAACTCTACATCTGAAAGTAATAATGTATTATATGTTAGCTAATTGTATTTAAATAAAAATTAAAAACATGAAAAAAAACCCAGAAAGTTGTTTGTAAAATTTACAAAAGTAAACTCTTCTCAAAATTGGCTCAAATGGCATTCCAGAGATAAATTTTCCAACGAATCCAAATGTTTATCGCAAGTAGTATTGCTTTTTTATTGCCAAAATTTTAGCCACAGCATTTCACACATGTCTTTCTATTGCTAGGAAAGAAAATCCAATTCAAATGGACTTGAATAATAAAAGGAATTTCTTGGCTAATCTAACTGAAGGTTTAGGAGTAATTCAGTGAAAGCTTGATCTAGGGGTTAAGTGCCAACAAAGATCTGACTTTCTGATCTCTACAAGGTTAGGTTCTGCTACAGGTTTTATAGTGCCCTGGTCACTCTTGTGCTCCCCTAATTATCATAAAATGCCTGCTCTGGTTCCATTTCTGACATTTATATACCACAGTCTCCAGAGAAATAGTTTTCAAAGAAGAGAGAGGAATCTGTTTTATCTTGGGTTCTCCAGCAAAAGTCACTTTGCATTTCTTTGACCCTGAGTACTGCGCCTATTCCCAAAATCTATCATTATAGCCAGGAGGATTAAATAGACAAATTAGCTTTAGCAGAGCATGAACCACTCCTGGATCTGAGGGTGAGAATCAATAGTATTCAAATTAAGTGGCTGAGAATGTGAGGGTAATGATCACTCCAATGCAAATTTTGAGTATACTGATGGGTGGAAGATGATGTGGGTGATGAAAACATAACCAACAATGTTCATTGCACAAAAGCAGAAATTGTGTCTGGGCAGGACTTCAGAATCCCTTTGCTTTGGATCTGGGCCCAGAATCTGTAAATATTAGATTTAGGTCTGACTTCAATTTTAGTTGTGTTGGAAAATTCAATTAATTTCTGAGTTTTAGCCTTAAGAACTTATTTAGGTGGATATGTTGCTGCTTTACTGAATGACTGTGTGGATCAAATGAAACAAAGATTACAAAAGTGCTTTAAAATCTATAATTAGTGTTAAATAAAGATAAGGTGACTGTATCTCCCACACATATGTCTACATGTTGGTATATTTTTATATGCATTTATCCATTTGTTGTTTTGTTTCTTAGAATACTTTTCAGTAAAATGTTTTTAAAATGCCAGAAAATGATGTTTGTGAAAACATTTTTTCTTCAGTTATAAATACAGAACAATTGAATTGTTTGTCAATATAGGAAAGTATTTGTGGGGGGTAGATATCTGTGATATTTTACATGCGTGATCTCAGTAAATTCCTCCCCCAGTTCCATGAGGCTGTTACTATTGAACCAGCCTTCATAGATGTGGAAACTGAGTTAAAGTATCTCATCACACGTTAGCAAAAAGCAAACCTGGATTCAAACCTAATGCAACCTGACAAAATGTCTCTGCTCTTTCAACAGCAGAATGTATTTGCTATAACTTCCCTCAGAGCAAAAGAATATGTGAGTTTTAAACAAATATCCCCCTAAAATGCAGGCTGTCTAAAGAGGTATTTTCAGTGTCTTTAGCTCTTGTATAGCTGCTCATATGTCTAGTATTTAAGATTTCAGAGTTTAGCCTAATCATCTTGCCATCTGCTCTGAAATGATGAGCCCATCTGTCAAGATATTCAAGACAGTATCAGATTCCATTTATTCTATGAGAAGACAATGACTCTTGAAATACCAAATCTGAATATGTCTGATTACAACATTACGTTATGCTTAAGAATTGCAAAGCCAAGTTCCCTATAGTTAAATGATAGCTGAAGTCCTCACATTGATAAGGTGATGAAGAGGCAACCAAATTAGAAAAATCTAGACTGCCAAATGCTGATTTGGAAATTTTTCAGTTCTGGTATGATGACCACTATCATAATTATTCCTGCATTATATTACAAAATACACATTATCTGGAAGTTTTGGAAGTAATATTCTTATATAGCATTCTACAAAGTGCCTTTAACTCAATCATTCATGTAATCCTTTAATATACATTATTATTCTTACCTTCTTCCTATTCTATTTATTCTGTACCATTTTACATATTTTTTAATTTATTTTAGAAATAATCAAGCCATGTTTTAAGTAGAATTTCCAGTCATATGCCTCTAAAAGGGAAACACATGAACCATGGGAGTTCCCTGCTGGGGGACAAACATGAGATATTACAAAGGTATGACAGGTAATGTCACTATATCTTTTAGTAGTAATAGTAGTAGTAGTAGTAGTAGTAGTAGTGGTAGTCATCAAATGAGTTTGAACAAACAGGCCCTTAAATGGTAACATGAGTTGACCAGTGAGTGTGTTTTAGGCTACACTGGTAGAGATTTTCCTCTCTGCACTCCAACCTTGCTTTATTAAGTTTAACTGCAGGGTCATCTAGTTTATAAAAGCAAATCAAAATCTCAAATACTTTCTCAATTCTCAAGACAAAATAATTCCCCAAATATGCATGCAATACCTCCTATGCTCCTGTATCCCCTATTCTCTTCCATTTTAACCTTGGTTTGTTTGCTATTGGATGAATGAATCTGTTTCATCTATTTTTCTGCAGCTGCTGAATACATCTCTTACACTAGCAGATACCTCCAAAGTTCTCATGTTCCCATCCTAAAGCGCTCCTATAAACTCCCTTTAAGAAGGATAACAAAACACATAAACATGTCCTAAGAGAAGCCTACCTATACCAAATTTTAAAAATTGTATCACTCCCAGAATCTTTGGAGATGTTAAAAATCTGGACACATATTACTATTGCTAATTCAGACCATTAAAATTTTGTGTTAGTGCAAGAAAGCAATAGATCGGGATTGAGGGAGAAAGAAAAAAATCCCCCATGTTTGGATTTACCAGAATCAGTCCATTACCATGTTGCTGAGGCCAAGATGCTGCTCAAGCCCATGCTGTTGCTGTTGGTACTTTCACACCTGGTGTCCTCAGGGGCCTGTCTGCTCTCGTCTCTCTCTAGTCCATCTCTACCAAAGAACAATCTATCGAAACCACATTGAGATACCACCTTACAACAGTTAGAATAGCCAAAATTAACAAGGCAGTAAACAACATGTGTTGGGGAGGATGTGGAGAGAAAGGGGAACCCTCTTATACTGTTGGTGGGAATGCGAGTGCGTGCAGCCACTTTAGAAAACAGTGTGGAGATTCCTTAAGAAATTAAAAATAGAGCTACCCTATGACCCTGCAATTGCACTACTGGGTATTTACCCCAAAGAGACAGATGTAGTGAAAAGAAGGGCCATCTGTACCCCAATGTTTATAGCAGCAATGGTTACAGTTGCCAAACTGTGGAAAGAGCCAAGATGCCCTTCAACGGACGAACGGATAAGGAAGATGTGGTCCATATACACTATGGAGTATTATGCCTCCATCAGAAAGGATGAATACCCAACATTTGTAGCAACCTGGACGGGACTGGAAGAGATGATGCTGAGTGAAATAAGTGAAGCAGAGAGAGTCAATTATCATATGGTTTCACTTATTTGTGGAGCATAAGGAATAACATGGAGGACATTGGGAGATGGAGAGGAGAAATGAGTTGGGGGAAATTGAAGGGGGAGACAAACCATGAGAGATTGTGGACGCTGAGAAACAAACTGAGGGGTTTTAAGGGGAGGGAGATGGAGGGTTGGGTGAGCCTGGTGGTAGGTATTAAGGAGGGGACGTATTGCTTGGAGCACTGGGTGTGGTGCATAAATGATGAATTCTGGAACACTGAAAAGAAAAAAAAAGAACAATCTAAAATATAAATCCCTTCAGGTAGCTCAGCTTTAAAAAAAGCTTTGCTGTGTCCCCTCCATTATCAGGGTGAAAAGGGAGCACACTCAGCTGAGTGCTGGCCTTTGACCCCTCTCCAACAAGAGTTTGGTAGGTCTTTTGCTCTTATGCTATGTTCAAGCATAAGAACTTCAATGTGTGGCTCCCTGGCACAAACCATGCCTGAGATCATGTCTTAGGTCTCCTTGAAACCATCTTACCGGCTGCCCACAGCACTTAAAGTAAATCCTGAACTTATTCTGTGTAGCAGACCTTGCATGATCTGGCCACACTCTTCAGCCTCATCTCCTGCTGCTTTCTGCCTGCTCCCTATTTTAATTATATTCTAAGTCTCCTCTATCTGCAAGACATTTATATGTGCTATTCTATCTACCTGGAATGGTCTTTCTGTCCTCCCTTCACATAGCTGATCTCTCTTATCCTTTAGATACCAGCATAAACATCTTCTTCTCAGAGTCCTTCCATAGCCACCCTATTTAATGTAATAATCCTTTATAAAGGAATCAAATTATTTTATTCATTAGAGCTTAACAGAGTATCAAATAATTGTTGAATAAATCAAGTTAAATTTCTTCCCAAGGTTTTTTCAGCTTCCTTCTAAAGTCTTTGCTAACCATCTAGATGGAACCCATTTTTTTCTGTTGCATCTGGAAGGAATATTGTATATATTCAAGTGTGTCACATTTAATTATGTACATTGCCACTATGCCCTCTAGTCTTTGAGATTTCTGAAACCTGTATCTCATACATATTTGTATTTCCAGGTCTTAAAAATAAGGTGCCAAGGGAAAAATGTCCTTTCTGCAGTGTACCAAGCAGATTCGCTATGCCCTACACACCCACACACATCCCACTATCCTGCACCGGAAGCACCATCTCTCCTTTCTTTATCTGAGTATTTCCAGTATTTGGGCTCTCACAGCCCTCGACTCCCTCTCTGGGATTGTCTGCCAGTACTCGCTCAAGGTTTCCACCTAAGTGACTCTACTTGTTTCGGCTGACTCAGGTTTCGACCAAAGGCAATTGGAGTAATTGTCGGGACTGACCCAAACTTAACCAAACAGATTCATTCATCCGAAAGCAAAAAAGATCGTCTGGATGTGAGCTACGCCTCTTCTCAATCTAGACAACTGAGCTTCATATCCCTAGTTCTCTTTCCCCACCCTCCATCATTGCATGCATGACAGAAATTGAGACTTGCTAAGAAAGGAATACTAATTATGATCAGGAAAACTAGTAGCAATTTTTGTGTTTGGGGTGGGGGAAGCAGGGAAGTAGTTTATGAGTTCTGAATCCCTCCAGAAGTAAACTTCTTTCCTTCCATCTGAACAGAAAAACAACAGAGACAAGAGAGGGTGCTTTTGCATCAATGAAGCAGCTGTAACATTTGGTAAGATGGGTCTGGAGTTAAGAACCTACACACTCGTGCATAGCTGTTCCTGCCCTGCCCACAGTTAGCACCTGCTAGCACCACCAACCACGTCCAGAGCTTAAAGATGCTAGTTTGAGTCATGTATTGTGTCACCTTGGGCAAAATCACTTGACTGCTTGAATCCGCATTCACATTTCCTTTTAAGTTCAAGACATTGTGTTTGTCTCCCTTTCCTCACCAAGTTTGTATGGTGAATATCAATAAAAATAATGCAAAGTAAATACAACTTCTTAATTGGTAGAATAATGTAAAATCTGGTTGTTATCCTTAAGAAACAAAACAAACAAATGTATGACAAGGGAATAATACATGAGGCTGAATGCTGTGCCTAAAAACATAGGAAATCTGACAGAAGGAAGAAAAGATTTCAAATGCACCCCCATCCTTTTTACCATGCAGCTCCGCAGAGACTCTTACCCTCCCCCGGTAATGACTCTTAAATAACCAGAAGCTATTCTCCTTTCTTTCCTTCATAAAGCTCTTTCCTCCCGTTATTCTTCAATCAGAAAGATAGACATGGGTAACAAAAGAATATGATTTTACCTGGAGTGATTCTACAGTAAATTAAAGTCTTTGGTATTTTATGCTTAAAAAGCGGATTCTTTCTGATAATTACTGCTCTGCAAAGAGAAGAGAATGGGAGGCAGGGAGGAAGAGGAGAGAGAGGGAGTACCAGACTTAACCAAAAAATTAATTCTTCCTGATTCCTCCAGCATCAGGTTCAAAAAGAAGTATTATTCTTTTAAGTTTAAATGTCCTAAATTCTTTCCCCTCGAGCTCAAGTACTTCTTCACTGAGTCACTTTCTAAAGGCAATGAATATTTTTCTTTTGGATCGGATTTTTTAAAAATCTAGATTGCAGCTTGGATTTCCTCAAATTTCACATTAACGGTAAGAATCTTTGCCAACTGCACACAATTACATCCTTTTGTATTTCACAGTAAAAGAACAAAGTTGTTTAAGAAAGTTTATATGACTCATTTTTAAAAAAATATATGATCTCTGAAGTTTAGAAAAACTTTCTCTTCTAATAAATTTCTCGTGTTAACACATTCCCATCTCCAGTATCCTCATGATTTTCATTTTTATTTCGAGGTCAGAGTCAGACACACATGTTATCTTATGATGGGCCAGAAAATAAATATGACTCCATATAGGCCTAAGAAAACATTTATGATGTAGCTGTTTTTTCCCCCTATTTTAAAAATGAGGAAGCTAAAGATTTAAGTAGTTAAGATTTATATAGCAAATCCCAGGGAGTAAATGGAAGAGTTAGGAATTGAACTCAAGTGTTTCTTCCCTTTAAAACTTTTCATACCACAATAGCTTTCCTTCACCTGAGAATAAAAATAAAAGTTACTTGTATCTAAGTAGAGACAGAGCTGGAGAGACAGCACTGAGAGTGAGAAGATAAACAAGGTGTCTATAGTCTAACAGTAGAGACAGATGCATATAGAAACTGATAATTGCAAAATGATTAAAAAGTACTACCATTTAACATCTACTAATGCTTCTAATTGTAAAGTGCTGTTCTAAGTGATTTCTTGCATTGAATCACATGTACAATGATAGAGGAATGCATGAGGTGCATGGTGGCCAAAGAAAGGGGAGAAGTAGATCTTTTGAGGGAATCTATTTCATCATTGTAAGAGAAGCATGTGTTAGAACAGGTGCCAAAGGGTAGGTAAGAATTTGCAAGGTATGTGTGAATGGGAATATTGAAGGCAAAATGAATATATGTGCAAAGGTGAAGGGACATGGAAAAGGCGGGCCTTCAAGTTGTGCCCAAATAGAATGAGTATGTGAGAGAGTGGAATAGATCCGTTTGACCAGGTGGGTGGGCCTCAGACCCTGAAAGGCCATGCATGCCATGATGCAGAATCTAGATTTTATTCTATTGGCAGTGGAAGGCCACTGAAGTGTTTTAAATGAGTGAATGGCATAGGACCTCAGCTGTCTAACCACACTAGAGGTGGTTGTCTTTTCCAACTGTAAATGCTCAGGTCATGGAAAAGGGCTGAGGGCCAAAGTTCTTTCCAAGTCATAATAACTACATGATTAACCACAAGACTTGGACCCCAGTCTTTGGTTGTGCCAATACAGGGGCTGGTGCTTCCCCAACCATGCAGCTTTAAAGTCTCAGTGCCCAAGGACTATGGTCTATCTCCTAGAGTCCAATGCTCTGCCAGCTAGATCCCTGTTGAATGTCTCAGAAAGTGATAGACAACAGAGAATCGACACATTTGCTATTCTCTGGTCTTCAGAATTTACCCCAATAAATAGGAAAAAAAAATATTCCAATTAGGTAAAGATTCATATAATTCCTTCCTTAGAGGGCTTACTGGAAGAAGCTCTTTTGCTGCCAGTTAAGCAGATCTTCACTTCTACCCATGTTAGCTTAGAGGTCATTCCTCCTGAAGGCAGGGGAATAGAACAAAAGATTTTTGACAGTCTCTCTTGACTCTTTCTATAACAGGCCTTTCTGTGTTCTGAGGTACCCTCATCACTTAATTCAGAGAAAAACAATTTGTCTGGCTCTGATTTCCTATTACCATTTTTCCAACTTCAATCAGTGAGTGATATCTTCAGAGCTTGTTGTCTCAGGCAGATGTGGGATCCTGGTGTCATGCACAGAAGTAGCTTGATTACAATCACATTCCCTTAATGATCTCATTCTAACTAGGCAGCAGCTTGATGCCCCCTATTCCCTTCACAATCTGCCTTGCTCTGTTGCAACTTCAATCCTGGATGTCTCTTCTATTTCTGCTTTCTTGCTATTCAGGAGAGCTGTGATTTTCTAGTTATTAGGCACCCAGTATTTATGAAACAACCAAATTTCCAGGGAAAAAGTGAGCCCTTTCCTTTTCTTCTAGGGGCAATTCGTAAGTTTTTTCTTATTCCCCCCCTCCCCAATTTCTTACTAACCTCAATAAGGCACACCACCTCCTACGAGGATTCTTTCCATTAGCCACTTTCTTTCTCCTCATGTCCAAGGACACTGAACGTTTGCCTCCTTCATTCCTCCTGAAGCCCATCTCATGTCAGAATTCCTCCAACCTCATTTTCTCAGCCAATTATGATCCCATTATCTCTCTAACTTGCTACATTATACACACATAGATTATTGAAGATGAAGAGATTATGATCTTAATATTTAATTGTTTTTCATAATGTGGTATTTGTTTGGAAATGAAACTCTGATGAGGGGGCATTTCTCTGTTACATACCATTCAGTGACAGTCAATTAACTGTAAAAGAAAACAAAACAAAATCTTAGTTGTGATTTTTGAGGAAAAGAAGGGTATTTCTGTATAAGCCAAGATTGCAGACATTTAGCTATTTAAAATGAAAAGTAGAACATGGGGACCTTAAAGAGAAATGGTACACCTCAGAGCTCTGGAAAACATTCCTTCTACCATGAAAATGGGGTAGGTATGATGGAGGAAAACTCATTCCCTGTGAATACAGACATTCCTGTTGGTAGCCCGGAACGCTAAATCCAGGCCTTTTATTCCTTGACATTCCTCCCATTCAGAAAAACTAATTTACTCACACAGTCATCCACTCAGATGTTTATTGAGCACAAGTTGTGTGGTAAGCACTGGAAGTGGAGGTAAAACAAGACGTAAGCAGCCTCTACTGTCATGGCTCTCGGCTGGCCATAGAGGTGGCAAATACATGTAAAAGGGCCCACATGAGAAGACTGATGCCCAAAGAGGAGGCCTGGGATTAGAGGAAAGGATGAGAAGTTGAGTCTGTAAGACTCCATGGACCAAATGAGACAAAGTCACAGGGGACAGACACTGCTGGTACTTGCCTCAGCAAGCACGGAGGTGTCAAGAGTAACAATCTAGCAGCTGTAGTTGGAATGGTGTTTCACAGCAGTTCTGTGTGATCTCAGCACAGGGTTGAAATCTGACTTTCCATGCTTTTTTGCCCATGTGTCACACTTTCTACTGCTCCCTATCATCTTACACTTAGGTGATTTTACACACTTATATGACTCTCTTGGTCTCCAAATATATTGAGTTTTCAGATGTCAGCAGAAAGATAGCAAATAGAACGACACATTCGAGAAACCTCAAGTAGCTCGGTATGGGCAGAACGAAGGGTGAATGCAGCAAAGGGAAAGAAAGGAACCTGCAGTATTGCGTGGGCTTCTGAGTAGGCAGAGTCCTGCATGCAAGGACAGACAATCTGAATCTCACCCAGAAAATTCAAGGAAGCAATTAGAACAGCTCAAGCAGGAAGTGTCAGGGTCAGATTATAGAAAGATCATGAGGCAGCAGGATGCAGGACGGATTGGAGGAGATAAAAAATAGAGACGAGGATAAAAGTTCTAATGTTATTGATTAAACCAGACTGAACATCATAAAGACCTTATTCAGTAATGGTCAGAATGAAGGAATGGGGCATATCTTTTGAAATAATAAAAAGGTCACAAGAATAAAACTTGGCAGATGATTGTTGTGGAAATGCTTAAAAGGGAAATGTTTTGGATCAAGTCTATTTTTTTTCTGTCTCAGAGAGCTGGATTCATGGTGGTGCCATTTACCAAAACAGGGAAAGAGGATTAAATTATTGGAATTTAAACTCTTTTTTGTCCTTTCTCATCAGGTCATCACCTAGAGAGTGGGTACTCTACTTATAGCTACAATCCTGCCTTCCAAATGAAATACAAAGGAGAGAGATCATAGTTTCATGAAGATAAGTATTAGACTTGTAACCAGGACACCCTGTTTTGTACCATCTCTTTATGTAATCTTGGACATATTTATTTTCTTCACTGTGCCTCAAGTATCTCATCTGTCAAATGGTGAGGCTAGAACTTTCTGCCTAGCTTAAGGCTTCCTTGAAGATAAAATGTGCTGAAGAAAAAAAAAAAAAAGAATTGACTTTGGAACTTGCCAAGTGAAAGGAAATATCTAAAGAGGTTAATTAAGTCTCTTGGGCTCATTCACTTCAGGAAAGTCAACATCGACCTAGAGGTGATCATGTAGGCAGATTAAAAAGCAGTGAGAGAGAACAAGTTTGCTGTGTCAAAACCAGGAGCAAATGAAGCTAAAATAAGCAAACTCTAAACTTGTGAGATGGAATGAAACCTTGAAAGCCAGGTCTGACTGACAGGAAGTAATCTCTGGGCAGCCACAGGAAAAAACTTTGAGGAAGGATTCTGCGTTTGCTCCATAGTCTTTCTCTGGAGAAATGAAGCCTGGAAGGTTCACTACTAAGGTTCATCTGCTGGCTGTTTGAGTTCCCTGCACCTGGCGCAGAATGTTTCTGAAGCAGCTTGCGAGCCATGGAGTAGCTGGAGAACAGGGGTAGGCTGTATCTCTCTCAGAGATTCTGCTTCATTTGGAGCAGAGGTTCATTTGAGGGCCAAGAATCCAGTGTAAGAACCAGTGATCTGGCAGACCCTCCAGACCTTTCTGCAATCCTCTCCACAAGCAGATGTTAGTGGATCCCTGAAGCAGGGTCCTAAGGAGGTTGCCTAAACAAAGAATGGTTATGCTAAGATATGGATTAGGTGGCTAGAACAATCTTCTCAAATACAGTAGCTTAAACGAGAGAGAAGTTTCTTTCTGCTTTAGAATTCTCCGTACGCATTCCAGGGCTGTGAGAGAGAATCCAATTTCCTCTTATATCAATGCTCCATCCTTGTCATAGGCACATGCTTGAGGTTGGTTCAATATCCTTCTGCTGGAAGTATATCTTTCACAGCAGAAAAGTGTGAAGGGAAGGAGAAAGTACACTCTCTCCCTTTTAAGGTCATAATGTAGAAGTTACACACATTATGTTCAATTAGGCAGATCCCAAGAGCCCATGTCCACACCTATCTTCGGGAAAGGCTGAGGAGTGTGGTCTTTAGCTGGTGATCCATGTGTCTACCTAAACTTGGGAATTACACAAGCAGAAGGGGTGAATGGATAATGGAGGGGGGTAACTACTAATCTCTGCCATAGTGGTAAAAGCACTTAGGCTTGGAACTTAATAAAAATCATCTCAGTGTTTCTCCTTATGGATATCCTTTAAAAACAATCTTCAATCTGAAGAGATGAAGTAAAATACTAGAATCTAATTCTGGCATCTGCTGTGTTTTCTTTTTAGTACGGCATAAAATTTATATACTGTCCAAGGTACAGATCTTAACTGTTGCAGTTAAATGAGGTTTAAGTTTCTACACTGACCTAACCCACACTCTACTAAGAGAGTGAGCACTTCGGTCATCTAAGAACACTTCTTTATGCCCCTTCTAAGTCAATCCCCCACACCCCACAGCCACTGTTCTGAATACCATCATTATAGAAATGATTCAGTAGAAAAAATGAGTTTTAAGAGTCATTTGTGTTGTTGTGAGTAGTATTCCATAATATGAGTTTACCACATTTTGTTCGCCCATTCTGATGATGAGCATTTGGGCCATTTACAGATTTGTACAGCTATGAACAAAGTGACTATGACTATTCATGTATAAATATTTTTTGGACATTTATTTCATTTATCTTGGATAAATATCTAGGAGTGGAATTAATGGGTCCCAGGGTTGATGTATATTATGTTCGTAAGAAATTGCTGGTTTTCCAACCAGCAATTTACAAATATCAGTTGCTCTAAATCCTCAACAATATAAGCTATTGGCAGAATTTTCAATAGAAGTTCTTCTAATGGGCTTGTTGGGTTTTGAAAGGGGAAAAATAAAATCTGGTTTCTGATTCACATATTGTATTTTCAACAATTCATTTCCATAGGACGGCAAATAAATACTGAGGAAATGCACATAAAATACTTTGAAATACAGAAAATCTTATAAAGAAAAGTGATCCTATGACAAATATTTTTATGGAAAGGACTCTTTTTAATAAGACTTGACAGTGTCATGGCATACTTGGAATCAGAAAACCTTGGTGTTCTCTCTAAGCTCTCATTTTTTTCATCTTAAAAATGGAGATAGAAATAGCCTTATGGTTTTTATGAAGCCTAAATAAGATAATTTGCCTAGCACTAGCATAGTGCCTAACACAGAGTGAAGAATGAGTGCTTTAACAGAATCTAAGATGAAGTGGTCTTTTTCAAATACGGTCATCATCACCATCACTGATATCATCATTAACAGAAACCTTACCATATCCTACGTGCTGCTAAGCAATTGTATTTTCTAATTAAATTCTCAAAATAATCCCGAGCTTCAGTATTGATATTTTAATTTCTCATGCAACTGCTGACCCTTTTATCCTGGTTTTCCAGCATGTACTAAGTAAAGCTTGTGGCTCTGTGCCCTTGCTTTGGTAGAGGAGGTGCCATTATCCCAGCAGCTGTGCAAACACAAATCACTTAATACCTCAATGCCTAGAACTCATGGCAGAAGTGTCAGCAGTGACACAGAGACTCCCTTTCCTTGTCACTGTGTGGAGAGAGGATCCTTTCCTGGACCGTAGCTGCATGGTGTGTCCAGCTATGGGTCAACCCAAGCGTTCTCTTCACAGTGTTCTAAGGGAGGGGGCTTGTACATCTGCTCATTTTTCTGACTCTGGGTCCAGTCTGTACCAGCTGACATCATGAAAGTTTGTATAAACACTGAATGCACCATACAACGGACTATGAGACGGAACTCAAAAAAGGTGCATGATTTGCTCAAACTTGCAAAGTTGAAGAAACAAAATTTGAACCCAAATTGTGTGAAAAAAAAAAAAAGCCTTTAGTCCAAGTTGCTATGAGATACAGACTGCTTAATTAGAGATTTATTCATTTGTTTTGTAAATTCAACTGGAACTTTAGGTTTCTTTCTAGTATACCATCCAAAATGTTCTCATGTTATGTGACTGAGGAGATCACTTCTGAAATCAGGCACATGTAATAAATTTGCACTTGCAGTGACATGACCACAGAAAACAACATTTGATCCAGTGATGACCATTTGCGTACCTAGGTCATTTTAAGGCAAACCTCTAAGACACAATTGTGTTTCAAAGACTAAAGAAAACACAAACTTTAGTCAAACAAATCTGGGTCAGAATCATTCTCCCCACTTACTGGCTGTGCAATCTGAGATATGTTACCTGAACCTTTGAAGACTCAGTTTCTTCATTTATAAAATAAATGTATTGGGACTTCCTAATAGGTTGGTGTGAAGATCAAATAGAAATATGTTGTCAAATGTTGATTTGAAGAAATTACTGATTAAGAAGCATGCATTGTTTCACTTACAACTAAGAAAATTGCAATTTTAAGTTGTCATTGATTATGAAGACCAAAAAATGTGTGTCTTAAACATCAATAAAATGTTAAGTGCCTATACACAGGCTCCCACTGAATGATAACTACTGTTGTGATTGGTGTTATTACTACCATTATCATCTCTTTGTAAGCCAAAAAATTTTGGCACAGAGAAGATTTCCAGGAATAAGATGCCTTAAAACATGGAAGGCAAATTATTTCCTTGATACGTTCAGGTGCTCACAACTCAAACCATTGGTATCTCCATCTTTGTGATACCGGGACCTCACACAACTATCAACTATGATATCTGGCTTTTTAAAAAATTTTATCTTTAATATATCAGAATTAAATCCTTATCAGTGAAGAGAATTCTAAAAAGGACAGAAGAGGTTTTTTCCTTTTCTTAGAGATGGAAAAGAAACCAAGTATTACTAGTTCCTTTTGGTTATGTAGCTTGAGCAATACAGGTGTCATTCTTTTTAAAGATTTTATTTATTTATTTGACAGACAGAGATTACAAGTAGGCAGATAGAGGCAGGCAAAGAGAGAGGCGGAAGCAGGCTCCCTGCTGAGCAGAGAGCCCAATGCGGGGCTCGATCCCAGGACCCCGAGATCATGACCTGAGCCAAAGGCAGAGGCTTTAACCCACTGAGCCACCCAGGTGCCCCACAGGTGTCATTTTTGAAGTTAAAAGTCACGTTCATCTATTATTGTCCATGGATATGGAGAAAAAAAATCCTTGGCAACAGAAAGAGTATCTCTTTTTAAAGGTAAAGTATTAATGATGGGTAGAAAGATCTTCTGGTATGTAATTTCTATGGAAAAGAAATTATTAGGGAAAAAAATGTTTACTTGGGTTCAAATTAGTAGATTTAGTATTTACTAGTGTGTGATCTTAAGCCAGTTACTAATTCACTCTGCACCTCAGTGTCCTTAGCTCTACAATGAAAGAATAACACTTGCCTTTCAAAGTTATTTAAATGATTTCTCCCAGGTAATTTCTTCTGTTCCTCACCATCTTGCTTTTCCTTCTGACCTCCACTTATACTTCTCATCTTAATTCAACTATCTCCTCCAGTGAGAATTATAGAGAGGGCCTAATAATTCTCCTTTTCAGACTTCATAATTTTAATTTAAATAATTATTTTATCCTATAAGAAATAAAACTAGAAATAACCTATGGTCCAGTAATTCCACTACTGGGTATTTACCCAAAGAAAATGAAAACACTAATTTGGTAAGATATGTGCACCCATATGTCTATTGCAGCTATATGTACAACAGCCAAGATGTGGAAATAAGCCATGTCCATCTACAGATGAATAGATAAAGAGGAAGTGGTATATATCTGCAATGTAATATTAGCCGTAAAAAAGAACGAGGTCTTGCTATTTGTGATAACATGGATGGAGCTAGAGGGTTGTATATAAAATAAAATAAGTTAAAGAAAGACAAACACCTTATGATTTCACTTATATGTGGAATCTAAAAAACAAGAGTCCAGTAAAGAAATCTAAAAACAACAGACTCACAAATACAGAGAATGGACATTTTCCCAGAGGGGAGTGAGGGGAGTTGGGAAAAATAGATAAAAGGAATTAAAAGGTACAGACTTACATTTATAAAATAAGTCCCAGATGAAAAGTACAGCATAGGGAA